ACAAATTCTATTTTTTTAAAGTATGCACTTATTTACAAAATCGCTTACTGGTGAATGTTTATCAAAAAAAGCTTATTCTATCGCCAGCTACTCTGTTTAATTTTCTGATTCGGAATTCTAAACTACACTTATTTTTGAAATAAGAATTTTAAAACCAACAATCTAATTCTTTAGTATAAAATAGTTATCGATTAAATAATATTTTGGAAACTAAGATATCAAAATTGTGTCCTATTATAGTAATAGAAAAATAAATTGTCAGTATTGTAGCTTTTTGGTAAAATAGTATTTTAGAAAAATGAACTTCAGGAAATTAACCTGTAACTAAAAAGATAGATTTAATAGTTATTAACAAAATAACTTAATATATCATCAATCTTTAATTCTCTTTTTGCCAAGTATTTATAAAACAAATTAATAAATAATATATTATATAAAACATTAAGCAACCTTTATTTTAGCTTATTCGAGTAAATCCAAAAGTGAACAAATTGGTTTTATGGATGAGAAATTAGTTTATGGGCTATACATATAAAATTTTTGTTTTGAAAATTTGCTTTAAGGTAATTTTGGGTCAGCTGATAAAATATTTTAGGGTAAAAAACGATTAGCTGATTAATAATTTAGGGAGCAAAATATTAAATATAGGGTTCTAAAAAAGGCCCAATTTCAATAATCGAAGCATATGAGGTTAAATAAAGAGGCTGTGGAGTCAAAGGCTAGAAAACCAGTCGGCAGAGCAAAACAACCAGATGCTATTATCAATGAAATTAATCAGTTGTCTTGGAGCTTAAGCAAAGGACATGGTGAAGCGAAAGTTCAAGAGAAGATAAACAACCTTTATCTCCTTTGCACCAATCTCATCCGGATAGCTATATTTAACAAAGATGCGATTGACTTTTATAACATGAATTGTATGCTTAGATTTCAAGTTGTTGGTAAGTTTTCAATAGTAATTTTTTTTTAGATTATATATTACTGAATAATTGTTTTGTACTCCAGGGCATCATATCACATTCTATCTTGCAACTCTTTTGTGTGATGACTTATATGTTATAGTATAAGTTGGGCACATTGATGTGCCCATGTCACTTGAACAAGTTCCTACTTTTCTCACCAGCCTTGATACGCTTCTCATCATTTTCAATGCATATTGGTCCAATTGCACTATGTCTACTGAAAAAAAGAACCAAGTAGGTGTAATACTCTTGCAATACCAAGTTTTAAAGAAATGGTTTCGAAGAGTCAGAATCGGTATCGACCTTGTCAATTACGGTTTTAATTTTTTTGGTTTCTAATTAAGATTTGAAATTAATTCACAATATTAAGAGTTTTCATTTATATAACATAATTAAGCTAGATTTATACATGTAATAAATATATTAGAAAATAAAAAAAATGTACACATTAGAACAATATAGCCTGTGACTTGCTTTTTTAAAAATAATTGATGTTCCACATGTAAATTTTTAAGATGCTTTTGAACATAGATATTGTTCAGAGATTTGTGCAACTTTTTGCATGCTTTACAATATAGATGTGAATAATAATTGTATTTGTCACAAACCTTATACTTGTGCTTAAAGATATGTCACTTTTTAATATAATTTCTGATTTTTCATTGTTATATTAAATATACATGGCTAAAATTTTTTGTAATGTGTACTGCAAACAAATTATATATAACAATAATGATAAGTATCATAAGATCAAAACGTCCTATATCAACATATATATAATTTATTTTAAAAAAATTAATATTACAAATTATGCTTGATTTAGAGACCGTCTAAAGCCAGGTGCGTTCATGTGACTAAGGGGAGGGCCATTTATTAACTGATATTTTGCTACTAAGTAGCTACCCCCCTCTCTACCTGATCATAAATACAGCAATTTGATTGGCTAAAATTTTTTAAAAATTTTAAAAAATTTTAAACTTTAATATTAAATAAAATTTGAACCAATAATCCGTTTTGGATGATTTTACTACCAAGATGTTCGTCTCGATAAAACGATTCCAACAAGCCTAAAATCATCAAAATCAAATCACTGGATCCCAAGATCGTTATAAATTTGTATTGCTTTAATTATATTAGTTTTGTATATATTAAAAATTATTAT